ACGACGAAAACTGTCAAAATTTCATGTGATTTTTGTGCACGATTACAATACTTCCTCTATACTCAGTATACGAGAAAGCAAAAAAGGATGTAATAACAAGCTATTTAAATAGTAGTGTATCATTATATTATTAAAGAAAATATTTTATTTTTCTCCTTTTTAGTGCAACCTTACATACAACTTTTCATTAAAACGCTTTTTATGCATTTTTTTAGTCCTAAGATTTCATTGCTGTTTAATGATTTACAGCGAAGACCTATGATAATTTATATTTAATGTTCATCAGCTCACGTTAAAAAAATAATCACTAATCTTTAAATTAAAACACCCTGATCTTTTCCTTTAATTATTGTTACCTTATAAAAACTATACAGATAATATTTATTTAGAACTAATCAAGTTTACTCGCTGCTCATTTTTTTAAAAATTGGTTATTTAATGACATCGATAGCACTTTAAAACAAAGTATTTCAACAACGTAAAACAAAATATTTTTACAAGAATATTAGGAAACGTTTTTAACAGTTTTCACTACATTTTTAATATGTTTAAACTAAATATTTTAAGCCAACATAAAACAAATAAGTTATTGTAATTACGCGCAGAGTTTTAACACATCTTTAGATACATCATTAACATATTGGAATTCAGCTTTACACCCGTACAAAAATGAAACTGTTAAAAGCGTAAGCAAATGTTTTTTAACAGCTTGCTCAAGAATTTCTGATCGAGAAAGTATCGTATTTTTAAAAGCTGGGAGGAGTTTAGCATATTTAAGCGTCGATGTCTGGGTTTCAATATGCCATCTCTGTTTTCGCTCTTTACAAATATTTTAAAACATCCATCAAAAGGTTGGGATCTATTTTCAATTCAGTCTCGGTTTTCGCTTTTTTCTTCTTTCCTAAAAAAAAAATCTCAAATTGAATTCGTGGGAAATATCAACAATTTGAGACGGGTTCAAAATCAAAACAAGCAAAAAGAAAAGTCCTCGAATACCCCACGGGGATATCGGAACTAGCAAGGGCGGTAATGTAAAGTAATTTTTGTGGTCGGGGCGGAAGAACTCAAATTGATATCCAAAAGCGCATCTCACTGACGTAACTCGCCTCGCGACGATTGGCGCCTCATTATGAAAAATCTCCACTTGCTTGAAGAAGAGGACTGGAGATGTTTGGACAGCATTACTTCCCCTTTGTGGGGCCACCGCGTGTACACAAACGCCATTTTTCCCACGTCCCCCCCTTCCATCCTGTCAGTCGGCCATCTCTTCATTCGTTACCCATCCATCCTCGATTATCTTCTATCCCCCTTCAATTTTACAAATAAAATAAAGTACATTGAATACATCCCTCCCCCCTCACCCCCCGTCCCGGCACACTCAACCCCTCTCTCAGCCAACCACCAACAGATCTTGAACCTCCAAAAAAAAATCTTGAAACGAAACCCCTCCAATCAATTTTCCCCCGCTTAAAAAAAATCGATCCCTGCCCAGACAACAAGACGTTTTTTTTGATCTTCCAAGACGCGAACAATAGCGAACCCACCCTTAGCTGTAAAAAGCGAAACACTCTGCAAACACAGAAACAAAAACCCTCGCATCGCCCCTCTGTTGTGTCCGTGTTTGTTCAGTCTCCATCCACTGCGAACCTCCGAGACGGATTATTCATTTCATTAAATAAACGAGCCAATCGATAGGTCAGGCTTTGAGCGGCACGTGACACAACACAAGCATATACCCCGGATGGCAAATGATAGCCATAAATTATTTAAAGTGCCTAAATATCAGACGGTGATGCGAGGTGGGACGACGGAAAATTTCGCTCACAAATGACGGGATTTGTTTTCTCGTTCAACTCTCGTATATAAATAATTACATTGGCGAGATTTAGAGTTTGATCGAGAATATTCGATATTTGATTAGTCTCGGAGATTAGTAATTAGAATCGTGTAATGTCTTCTCGCATTAAATCACATATAAAAACGAATTTATAATTAAAGGAGAGGGTTACGTAATCAGTGGATATCAGGTTTTAGAGAACATATTGAGGAATATTTCAATATTTTAAAATATATAAAGTGGTCAGGAAATACTTGGCGGGGGGGGGGGGGGAGATGTTCTTGGATTTTTTAAAAACAAAGATAAGATCTTATAATATTTAGATACAGTGGCGTAGCGAGGTCGGGTGTCACCCGGTGCGGCACTTAATGGTGTCACCCCCCAGAGGCGTAGAAACCCTTTCCGGGGACAAACTTTCAAATTTTCGATTTGCACCCCCGCCCTCAAACTTTCGATTTGCACCCCCCCCCCTCAAACTTTTGATTTGCACACCCCCACCCCCTAAAACTTTCGATTTGCACCCCCCTTCAAGTTTTTCTCTATATATTTTGCGATTTTTTGCCTTGGTGTCACCCCCCTAAATGGTGTCACCCGGTGCGGTCCACACCCCCCACCCTCGCTACGCCTCTGTTTAGATATGATTTGTAAATTTCTCTTGACCTTGTACTCAGCCTGTGTATTGAAACACCTGCAGCAGTACATTTTATTTTGACACATTGCCATTTTTCTTAATGTTGTCTCTCAATCCGACCTAGCTCAGTAGATCTCATGCTTTTCTTATTCTCAGTCATAATGTACCATACCTACCACATTCTAGATACACAAACGATACGTCTACTTTTTTTTAAAGACAATGTTGTGAAAACATATCACAACAACGAGTTACTTGCCTGCTGTCTTGAGCGAGCAACTATTGAGGGCATATGCCCAGGGACAAGGGCATAAATACACTAGATAAAATGCGTGCCATTTAATTAAACTCTGGAACTGTGTGCTTGATCGGTCATACAAGAATAATTATCTGTGTTTTTAATTTGATATTAATCATTGCATATTTATAGTTTTACAATACATCTCTTTTTTGATAATCAATAGCTTCATATTCTATGTCATCTACATATATTCTCTACTGCAAAGATGTCTCCTGACTTAAAGTTAAAAATTAGTGCTTTGTCTTGTCTATATTGTTTTTTTTTGTCAAGTATTTTATATTTTCATGTCTAGATTGTACTTTGTCTTGTTTAACCGTGAGCTCCAAGACTGGATTCCATCTTATGCCCTATGGTAGTGAATGTCTTCAGCGGAACTCCTGGACGCACATAAACTCTTTGGACATGAACTTTACTGGGCGTTAACTCAACTGGATGTGTTACTATTTTGACATGAACCCCTGGACATAGACTCATTGGGCATAAGCCCACTTAAACATGAACCCCGTGGAAAATACCCCCACCCCTCTCTCTTTAGAAATAAAACCTTGGTCATAATCTTTAAGAGTTTTATAGCAGAGATGAACTAACAAATTAACAATTTCAATGTATATGTTCTCTATATAACTATGTTAATGGGTCTAAATTGTATCAAAATTTAACTACCGACAAAAAAAACTATTTAGCAGTCAAGGAGGGAGTATATTTTTTTTATATAATATGTCCAAATGTCGAAGCATTGACAGGCTAGATCAATACATGTTGTTTAACAGTAGCCCTACGGGGAATTTGTGGGATTCACCGACCACAACTTGGTTCTCTTCCACAATATAATACAATATTAAAGTAAAGATTCCTCTTAAAGCACTAAAGATCCAGTTGAAGTGGAGCACATATGTTACTTGACGACGGCATAGTAAAGAATGATGTTCTGTACTATAGGGCTTGTAAGTCTACGGTCTAGAAATCTACTAGCTGGCAAGTACGAGAACGAGTTGTGACCTACTTACAAGCCCTATACCCAGACACCTTTACTTTCCCCAACACAAGGAAAGTGAAGGAACGTCTTGCAGTCACACCCAGACACCCCTATATATATATATATATATATATATATATATATATATATATATATATATATATATATATATATATATATATACATTGGGAATATATAAAAATGTGTTAAGTTTTCTATTGGAAGCGCCGGTACAATCGCCGCATATGATAGCTGTGATCAGTCTGAAGAGTTTAAGACTCCCGATAAAGAAGGCTGGAAGATTAAATAGAGGCAAGAGGAATAAAAGCGTCCTCTAATCATCGCATTACGATCGTTTAAATAATTAAATGGCGAAACCTGACAAATCCGAGCGATCTCCCGCGGGCCGACGTCGGCTGTGCATTTCGCACTGTTTGTAGCCAATAATCGGCCAACAGTCCTCGGCTCGGCTCAAGTGCTGGCCCGCCTGGGCCACTTCCCACGGGCAGATAACACAGGAAATTGGAGCATTTAGTGGGCAATTTCTCTGTTTCACTCCCCCATCCTCCGCTCTATTTTTACTCCTCTTCTTCCTACTTTTTTTTTTCATACTCCGATCTTATTCCGTGTTATTACATAAAGGGTGGGGGGGGGGGGGGGGGGGTCGGGCATCTGTGTTTTGATTTTGAAAATTGTCGTATTGCCATTTAGGCATTTCTATTAATAGTTTTTACATTTTATGGAGCAGATTTTAATTGTGCTAATCGCATGGAAATATTTTTAGAACCTTTTTAAACACCATTTTTAACATTCTAAATTGCATAGGCTACATCTTCAAACAACTTCTTGGCCAGGATTAGAACTTGGTACCTTGGGGACATCAATACACTTTCATGTTTGTAGTAACATAAATAAATAAATAAACAAAAAACAGTACACTATCATATTTGTAGTAAAAAATAAATAAAAAAATAAATTAAAAAAAAACAGTACACTATCATATTTAATTTTGTAGTAAAAAAAATCAATTAAAAAAAAAACAGTACACTATCGAATTCGTAATAAGAAAACAAGTTAACATTGCTAGCCTTTTTTTTTAATCACTAATATATTTTAATAAGGCTATTCTGATAATGTAAACCATTAAAGCTTGTTTGCGTTGAAGGTTAATACTGTACGCTGGTACCGATTTTACTTCCAAATGTTGCCTTCAATGTATTTACGGATTTATAAAATGAAAACAAACATGACAATA